CAAGAACAATAAAAATGATTCAGGGTTTCAGAAGAAAATGATAGGATTTAACAGTGGTTGTTACATATTGTTATCCTCAATAAAGTGCCTCAGGTTATCAGATGCAAGAGTGCAAGATTGATCAAACCATTAAAGAAAATAAAACATAATTTAAAAACCACCAGAAATGATATAGAACTTCACTAAATAAGATGGTAGGAATTCACCAATAGTTGTTATATTGCATATTGTTGTCTTCAAATTAATTGTTGAGATTATCAGATATAAGCACACAAAATTGGTAAAAAAATTTAAGCATTAACTGTTCCTTCAACAAACCATTAGACATCAGTGGCACAATTTTCCTATCTCTATCTATCTATCTATCTATCTATCTATCTATCTATCTATCTATTTATCTATCTCTTCCTTCTTTCTTTCTTTTTTTCCTTTCCCTCATTCTAGTTCGCTCCCTTTGAGCAATTTCTTAATTTCTCTCCCTTTCACAACATTTATTGTACCTTGTTGATTTTATTTACTCTTTCAGGTTCTTACACTAGGGAGACAATGCAATGATTACACATGTGAGTCTGATTTATTTTACTTAAGAGTATGGTCTCTAGTTGCATCCATTTACCTATAAAAGCCTCGAGTTTATTCTTTTTTATAGCTGTGTAATAATTTTGTATAAAAATACCACATCTTTTTTTTTATCCATTCCTCAGTTGATGGGCATTTGGGTTGTTTCCAAGATTTAGCTAGGACAAATTGTCCTACTATAAACATGAGTGCACATATATCACTGTGATATGATATTTTTAATTATTCTCATGAAATACCCAGAAGGGGAATAGCTGGGTTAAGAGGAACATCTAATCCTAGTTTTGTGAGGAACCTCCACACTGATTTCCACAGTGGTTGCACCAGTCTACACTCTCACCAGCAGTGAATTGTTCCTTTTTCCTTGTAGCCCCTCCAGCATTTGTTGTTGGTTGGTTTCTTGATGATAACCATTCTTTCTGGGGTGAGATGGAATCTCAGTGCTGTTTTCATTTGCATTTCTCCAGTGACCAGTGATGTTGAACATTTTTTCATGTATTTATTTGCCATTTGTATTTCTTCAACTGAGAAGTGTGTATTCATCTCACATGCCCATTTTTGAATTGGGTCTTTGAATTTTGGGGATTTGATTTTTTTAAATTCTTTTTATGTTCTAGTTAGAAGTCCTTCATCTGAGGGACAGTTGGTCAAATTTTTTTCCCAATTTGTGGTTTTTTTTTTACTCTGTTGGTGATTTCTTTTGGTGTGCAAAAACTTTTCAATAATGTGAAATCCCAGTTGTTGATTCTTTGAAGTATTTCACGTGCAGTTTGGTTTTGTTCATGAACTTTCTGCCCACACCTATGTCTTCAAGATTTCCATCTACTTGCTCTTCCAGTAGATTTAGTGTTTCTGTTGTAATGTTTAGAACTCTGATTCGTTTTGTCTTTAGTGCATAGTGATAGACATGGTTCTAGTTTGAGTCTTTAGCACATGGAAAGCCAGTTTTACCAGTACCATTTATTAAAGAGGCTATCTTTCTTCCACTGAACATGTTTAGCTCCTTTGTCAAAGATAAGGTGGCTGAGTGTGTCTGTAGTTGTGTCTGCATCTTCTAATTTTTATACTCATATTAATGTCTGATTTTTATGCCAGTAACATGTTGATTTTATGACAGTAGCTTTGTAGTATAATTTCAAGTGAGGGATTGTGATGACCCTGCCTTTCCCTTGTTGCCCATGATTGCTTTTGCTATTCTAGGCCTCTTTTAGTTTGAGATGAATTTTAGGAATATTTTCTACAGATCTGTGAGGCATACTAGTGGTATATTAATTGGTATTACACTGAATCTGTACAACGATTTTGAGATTATGGCCATTTTCACAAAATGTTGGTTCTTCCTATCCATGAGCAAGGAATATCTTTCCATTTTCTGAAGTCCTCTTTGATCACTTTTTTGAGAGTACTGTGATTTTCACTGCATCACTTACTTCCTTTGTTAGATTGATCATTTACTTCCTTTTTTAGATTGACTATTAAGTATTTCATTTTTTTAGATGCTGTTAAGGTGTGGTTTCCCTAATTTCTCTTTCAGTGTATTTGTTGTTTGTGTACAGGAATGCTATTGATTTTTGAGTGTTAACTTTGTATCCAGCTATGCTACTGAATTTGGTTATTAAATCTACAAGTCTTTTGGTGGAGTTTTTGGGTCCTTTTCTATGTAGATTATCATGTCATCTGTGAATAATGATAACTTCACTTCTTTCTTCTTTCCTTATTCCTTTTATTTCTCTTTCTTGTCTAATTGTATTTCCTGAACTATATTGAATAGGGGTGGTGACAGTGGACATCCTTGTCTTGTTCCAGATTTTAAAGAAAGCTTTCAGTTTTTGTTCATTTAATATGATGTTGGTTGTTGATTTTTCATAGGTGGCTTTTATCAGAATGAGGTAAAGACCATCTATTCCTATTTTCTGTAGGGTTTTTATCAAGAATGAGTATTGGACTTTATCAAAAGCTTTTTCTTCATCTATTGAGATGATCACGTGATTTTTGTCTTTGGATGTATTGATATGGTGTATTACATTAATTAATTTTCATATATTAAACCATCCCTGCATTCTTGGGATGAGTCCCACTTGGTCATGATATATAATCTTCTTGATGTGTGCTAATATTTTATTGAGAATTTTTTGCATCTATTTTCATTAGGGAGATTGGCCTGTAGTTCTCATTTTATGGTTGGGTCTTTCTCTGGTTTTGGTATCAGGGTAATACTTGCCTCCAGGAACGAGTTAGAGAGAACTGCCTCCCTTTCAATTTCATTAAAGAATTTGAGAAGAATTAGCATTAAATCTTTTCTAAATTTCTTGTAGAATTCAGCTGTGAATCCATCAGGACCTGTGTTTTTCTTTGTTGGTAGGTTTTTTTTTACATTTTCAATTTAATTGGCTGATATTAAGTTATTCAGGATTTCTATATCTTCTTCATTCAGCTTTGGTAATTCATATGTATCTAACAATCTGTCCATTTTGTCTGTGTGTTCCATCCTATGAGAATAAAATTTTTGAAGTAGGTATTGATGATCTTCTGAATTCTACAGGATCCTTAGTGATTTCATCCCTTTCATTCATTACTGAATGATTTTGAGCTTCTTCTTTCCTTTTTTGATAAGGTTGGTCAGGACTTTATCAATTTTATTTATTATTTCAAAGAACAAACCCTTCAATTCAGTAATTCTTTGTATTGTTTTCTTAGTCTCCATTGCTTTAATTTCTGCTCTGATCTTTATAACTTCCTGCCTTCTTTGGGCTTTAGGCTTGACTTGCTCTTGTTTTTCTAGAAGCTTGAAGTGCAGCATAAGATTGTTTATTTGTGCTCATTCTGTTTTCTTTTGTTTTTCTTCCAGTACCAGGAATCAAACTCATGACCTTGCACTTGCCAGGCAGGTGCTCTGCCGCTGAGCTAAATCCCCAGCCCCTCATTCTGTTTTCTTGATGTGGGAATTCACTGCTATAAATTTCCCTCTGAGAATGGCTTTCATTGTATCCCACAGGTTCCTGTAAGTTGTATCTGCATTTTCATTTGATTGTGAAAATTGTTTAATTTCTTCTTTAATTTCATCTGTGACTCATTGATTGTTCAGGA